ACCTTGTCAGCACCCCTCATGCCAACATTGTTTCTATGATCTTCTCCAGCGGGGGACCCTGAAGCCAGAGAGGTGATGTGACCCCTTGAGGTCCCCCAGCTCAAGAGGGTGGAGCATTAGCCCGGCTCAGCCCTGTCACTGTCTGGCCTTTGCTGGGTGCAGGTGTGTTGGCTCCAAACCCCTGGCTGGCGGTGAGACCCAGGGACTAGTGACGAGGGCGGGCTCTGTGACCTGGCTGCACACTGCCCCCCTGCCCCCCCCAACTAACCTCTCACTGCCACAGGTGTCTGGTCTGTAGAAGGGGCCTGGACCCCTGCCCTCCTCGTCTGGGGCTGTAGTGGGTATAAAGTACAATATTACAAGAAGAAGGCTCAGTGAATGCTATTGTTGGAATTATCATTGATTATTTTAATTGGTGTTACAACTCAGAGGAGGGTGATCTAGCTGCTCACCCGGGCCTCTCCGGGCTCAGGCCCCCTGGGGTGTGCAGGCAGCCTTAGGAAGGCACAGCCCCTGGGCACGGGGCATTCAAAGCTGGGGGAGTGGAGGAGGGTGTTAATCGCCCAATCCCTAACTGTGTTTGAGTGTGGGCTGTCAGAGTTTGAGGGACACACACACACACACACACACACACACACCCTGGGTTGAGGTGGGAACCCAGCACTGGGGTGGGGGTGGAACCAGGTGGGTTCTCCATTCCCTAAGCAGCTGGCCTAAAAAGGTCAACAGAAGGACACTGCAGAATGGAACAGAAGGATGAAGGATGGTCAGAGTCCTGAAGCAGAGGCTGGCCGAGAGGGACAGGAGATAGGTCAGCGCGGTCACCTGGGATGGCATTCCGAAGGCCTCGTGGGTCAGAAAAGCTAGAGTGTTTTCAAGAACAGAAGGAGCATGGCGTACCCTTACTGAATGAAATGACCGGAGGCCTCTCTCAGCTCACTGCGCCTTCCTCCTCTCCCAGCCTGTCGCCCACCCTCAGCCGGTCCTGGTTGGTCACTTCAGCCACCTACCAGCCACTGGTCCTGGGAGCCCAGAGTCTTGCGGAGTGGGGGTGACAAGTAAATGGGAATTTTAGCATCTTGGTCAATACAGCAAGAAGAAGGTTCAGTGAATGCTACTGTTGGAATTTTCATTAATTATTTTAATTGGTGTTACCAAGGAGCCCCCCAGGAGAGGGGGGGTGGATGATCAGTGGGCGTTCATTCACTAGACTAGCACCTGTATACGCTCAGACAGGAACCTGTGCAGCGTGTTGGGGCTGTGTTTTTCATCGAGTTCATGATAAGCACTTACTGCTGGCACAGGTTACACACTGGGCTGCGAATTACAAGGTCAGTGGTTTGAAACCACCAGCCACCCTGCCGTTGAACGCACTGCTGACTCATCATGATTCGGCAGGACAGGGTCAGAATCGTCCTTGTAAATGTTTGAGTCTGTAACTGTTCACAGGAACAGAAAGTCCCGACTTTCTCCCTTGGGGCAGCTGGTGGTTTTGAACTGCTGACCTTGGGGATCACTGCCCAACTTGTAACCACTACGTCCCCAGGGCTCCTCTGCTGTAGAAAAGATGAGGCTTTCTGGTAAAGCATTACCGTCGGGGACACTTGCAGGGACGATAGTGCCCCATCGCTTGCTATGAGTCAGAATGGACTCTGGCAGGGAGTGTGGGTTGGGGCGCTCAGCACGGTCCTACAGGCAGGACATCATGGAAGCCACACCATTGAAATGCTGCTCCCCTTCCCTCAGAGACAGGCTGACGATTTCTGTTTTATGATGAGGAACTGAAGGTACAGAAAAGGTAAGTAACTTGCCCATGGTCACACAGCAAACCTCTCAATCACCCAGGACAAGTAAAGGGTGAAATTGGATGGTCAGACAGAGTTGGACAGGAGGCACCCTGAAGGTGTTAGGCTCCCAAAGGTGTTAGGACTCCATCGCGGAGCCTCGGGAGAGCTGAGGTAAGGTACGAGGTGGGCCACAGTCGGGGTGGAGAGAAGGCTGCCGACTTCAGTGAAAGGCTTGGAGGCGGGTGTAACAGTCCAGATGAGGGAATGGCTAGGGCTTGACCACAAGGTCGGGGGAGCTCGGGACAGGAGAGGATTAGCTCCAGAATGGGAGGAGACAGGAAGGCAGATGTGAGGCCAGGGGACGTGGAGGCGCAGATAGCGATTAGAGAACACGCCTGGAGAGTCCGGCTGGAAGCTGATGCTCCCTCCTCCCTCCCAACGGTTATCATTTCACTGATAAGTGAAAGGCTCGGCGTTCCTGCGGGCCGAGCACGGTGGCGGTGTTGTTTGTGGGCACCGCCCGAGTGCATTCTGATGCCCGTGTGCGGGGAAGAACGGTTCCACAGGGCTTTCAAGGCTGTGGTTGCTTGAAAGCTCACAGCCAGGCCTTCCTTCTGGGGCTCTTTAGGAGGGCTGCACACAGCTACCCTCGGGGGCTAGTAGCTGGACACCCGACCCTTTGTGCCACCCAGGACCTGAGGTTGCAACATTAAAATTAAAAAATTTGAAAACACACACACAGTGGGGACAGGGCAATGCTTACCCCCCAAACTGAAGGCAAGCTGATGGTGGGATTTCAGGCACAGTGAGCCCTGATCACTGGGGAGGTTTCCAAGAGTCTCCCGCTGAGGGCCCGACAAGCCAACGGTAGAAATCATTGCCCTTGGTGACAGGCTCTTAAGGATGCCTGGGAGAGTGGGCGTTTGTGAAGGGCTCTGGGCAGAGGTCAGGCTGCCCTGGGTTCACTCCAGGATGTGCCGGGGCTGCAGAAACCAGAGATGTTTCTGGAAGCTTGGCGGTGGCATTCCTAAGCCCCTTTCTATGGTCCCAGGACTGAGCCAGTGAGCGGAGTCCCCCTCTCCCCCGCCTCCCCCTGCCCCTCCAACCCCCTGCCTGTCTGCTGCTCTGAGAATATTGTAGCCAGCACTCAGAGCTGCAGGTGCTGTCACCTGAGCCAGGGTCATGGCAGCTTCCCCTGGTGGAAAGGAGTCTGGGGAGGGGCAAAGCCACGCTCACACCACCCCCTGCTGGCCCCGCCCACATCCTCAGTGCCTTTGAGGAAGCTGGCCAGGGACTTTTACTGAGCCAGAATCTGGGACAGGGGTGTGGCCCTGTCCCCTTGTCCCCAGGTCCTTCCAGGTCTAGCACCCATGAACATGGGGTTTGGTGGAAAGTGCAGAATCTCACCGGTGGCCCTGGGCCCGTCCTCTGACTTGGCAGCTTCACATGTAGGTGGCCTTGGGCCCAAACGGAAAAACAAACTCACGGCCATCGGGTGGATCTGGAATCCCAGGGACCCCTGTTGGACAGAGGAGAACTGGGCCTGTGAGCTCCTTAGAGGAATCCATAGCGTCATCTGGTTCCCTCAGAGTGGCTGGTGGGTTTGAACCTCTGATCTTGTGGTTAGCAGGTCAATGTGTAACCTGCTAGCTGACACTCTCCACCCCAAAGCGGCCATGTTTTCAGGGTCTCGGTTCTTGCACCTGTAAAATGGGCGTGGGCGTGAGGGTAGATGCTGAATGTCCAGGCCAGTCTGGCTCCCAGCCCAAGAAAGCACTCATTACGCCATGCGCACCGCACCACCACCCTCCTGCCCCGCCCATCTGTGTTCCCTGCCGCAGCAGCCACCGGAGGAAGCAAGGTTGCAAACCGAGACAAAGCAGACCCAAGTCGCTGGGAGCCAGAGCAGTCTGTTAGCAACTGCTACTAAGCTGCCCTGGTCCAGCCGGTGTGCTGTCAGCCTGGCTGGCAGATGGGCACCCGGGCCTAGGGCACGCCTGGCCGGCTTCAGAGCACAGATGGCCAAGCCCAGGCCTCTGGAGCCCGAATTGGGTCCGTAGTCTCCACCAGCAGCCTCTGTTCTGTTGGTCTTGGTGCTAAAAGCCATTGCTATCACTTCAGGAGCCCTTCTCCCCCCTCCCCACTGTCACGCATCCCCCTGAGACAAGGCCTCCAGCAAAGCTCTCCGAGGTGGGTGGTCCAGGTCTAAGCTCCCATGTTTCGGAGGAGGAAGAGTTGGGACAGGAATCCTGGTCTCTGCCTGTGGGGCCAGACCCTCTCCCCATACCCAGGGCTCCTTGCAAACAAGGGTCAGTCTCAGATTTTCTTCTCCCAGAATCCTTTGCGAGGCAGCTTCTGCAATTTAGGCCTTGGCCATCTCCAGGGCACTGGCCCAACAGCGGATACGGCTCCATCCAGTTTCAACCTGGTTCAACGTGTGTCAGGCTCTTCGGAGCCCTCCAATGACGACCCATCACCCCTGTGGCCATCCAGCACCACAGGCCCAGCCTGCTGGCCTCCTACCCCGTCTCCTGGAGAGCTCCCCTTCGCTCATCCCATTGCCACTCCCCACACACACACTGTCTCTCAGACACTCATGCATGACCCACCCCAGGGCCTCCGCATAAGCAATTCCCTCAGCCTAGAAGGCTCAACACCCATCCACAGGGCTCACACTGCCTTCCTTGACGTCTCTGCTCCGTCGTCCTGTCGGAAAAGGAGCCCCTCCTGACTGCCCACTGGTGCCTCCCTCCTCACTAGGGAAGCAGAGGATTCAAGTCTGAGGAGCCAGGAAGGCAAAAGCGGGCCCGGGGAGAGAGGGCCCTGGCATGAGCCGAGGTCTCCTTCTCTTCAGACGGCTTTTCTTTTATCCGTCTATGGCTTCAGGGCTTGTTCCTCTCTTCAGTGCTCCTGTCTTAGTTACCTCTCACTGCTATACAGAACCGCCACAGCAAGCGGGTGGCTTTCACACAAATAAATGTGTTCTCCCACGGCGTAGGAGGCCAGGATTCCCTAAAGGGGACGGCTTTCCATCTCTGTGGGCTCTGGGGAAGGTCCTTGTCTCAACATCCGTGGCCCAGTGTTTCTTGGAGAGCCCCATGTGTCTTGACCTCACTCTTCCCCTGGGTCTAGGAGGTTCTCAGCGCGGGGACTCTGGGTCCAAAGGACTTGCTCTGCTCTTGGCTCTTCTTTCTTTAAAAAAAAATTTTTTATACCCTCTAGATTCCTGTCCCTCAGATCTAAATATTGGTCTGAGTGGCTATAAAAGGAGGAAAAGTAAAACTGAAGTGGACTTTGAGTCTTGAATGACTTGCAAGCTCATTTCAAACATAATAAAGAAATTTTTAAAATTAATTAATTTATGTATTCCAGCAGTTTCTTTTGCAAGTAATCTACATATCGTATTATTCAATAGTTCAATCATTCAATCATATCATGGAGAATTGTACAATCACCCACACATCACTTTTAGGACTCTTCTTTTGTGATAGTAGCAGGTCTCTCCTGGTCTCTTGTAAGATAAAATGTGATACAGGCCACACCTCAGGGATACTCCACTGACATCCATCAGAGCTGTGGCCCCAGTAAGGAGGTGGCGTCATCATCCACCCGAACCCCCTTACAACCGACTGGCTGGTCATATCAGACCACATCCCAGGGGGATGATGCATCATTACATACCTGCCAGGCCTCTAAGAATCATGGCCCAACCAAGGTCACCAACATTTTTTGAGGGGGACACAATTCAGTGCATGATACCTGCCCTATAAAAGTGAGCCCCCTCAAGGTCTAGTCCATCGCTGTGTGCCCATGGCTCGCCAGAGAAGGGATGCTAGACAGGCATCACTCAGAGACGCTGCAGGTCTCCTCATAGGTGCAGCTGCTACAGGACAGCCAGTGTTGAATGCAGCCAGTCTCCAGTTTCTGGCTCCCTAGTGCACACGAAGCTATGTTCACACGAAGCTGTACTCGCCTATGGAGTGTGCGGGGCCTAACCTAACCAGGCTCACGGCCATCGGGCCAATTCCAACTCATAGGGACTTCCTAGGACAGGGAGCACTGTCCCTGTGGTTTTCTGAGACGGTCACTCTTGACAGGAGTACAACGCCTCCTCTTTCTCCCAGGGAATTCTGGGTGGTTTCAAACTGCTGACCTTGCAGTAAGCACCAGACAGGTGTGACGGCATTATGGAAAAGCTAGAAGCAGCGTGAGGATTGCCAGAATGAGCACGTGCTGCTGAGAAAAAGGCAGCTGTAGAGTCGCCGGGAAGCGGGAACCTTCCGTTGGTGAAAAAGCACATGCCGTGCGAAGCTGGAGAAAGCATGTTGTTTGTTGTCCGGGGAAGGGAGGCGAGCTGCACTGATGGGCAGATTCAGTCAACCTTTCTGAGCACCGATTGTGGGCATGGTTTGTCTTCAGCATGGGGGCCAGGGAGACAGAGGCCCCGGCTTTGAGGAGACCAGCGCTGGTCAGCGGACCGAGACTCGGAGCTGAGCCAGGGAGACTGTCAAGAGCCCCGCTGGCCAGCATTCTCACCAGAGCCCCAGAGCCCACCCCTCCCTTTCTTCCTGTGTGGTTGGGAGATGGGAACTTGGCCTTTCTGAGCCCCGACAACCCTCACCTATAAAGTGGCGCTAAAAATACCAACCAAGGCTCTCCTGTCCCCAACACGGTCACCCACCTCCTGGATCACCAGCCCAGCTTCGACTGCCACACAGCAGCCAGGGGGCCTGCCTTTTGCCTTTCCCCTCTTTTTTCTTCAGTATTCCCCCACTGCCAGCCTCCCCCCCCAAAAAAACCCCTATTAGCTTTTTTTTTTTGTGACTTAGCGACACGTTTGCACAGCTCAAAATTCAAAAGATTCTCCGGGGAAAGGGAAAGAGAGTTGGCAGTCTCGCTGACACCTGCTCGCAGCCAGCAAGGCCTCCTCCCCAGAGGCACGCCCCGGGAGGAGCATCCATCATGCCCCAGGTAATGTACGCAGAGCCCCGTCAGCGCACCTCCGATCTTCTCTTGTTTATTTATGTTTTTAAGCCGGCAGTAGCCGTGCCTTGCACGACGGCTCTGCCTCGTTCTGGAACGCATCCGGTGGTGGTGGTGGGGTTGTTCTTTTTATTAAAAGGGTGTAACGTAATCGGTCCCTGGCAAAGTCCGCTGAGGGTTCCCCCTCAGGCTTAGAATAAAAGCTAAGCTGCTAAGGGGCGCCCATGGGGGGTGGTCACTGCCATCCTCCGGCCCTTCGGCCCATTTCTACCCTGCGGCTTCTCCCTACTCTCCTCCGGCCAGCGGGCCTCCTCCCTGCAGCTCCTTCAGGGCAGCGGGCGAGCTTGAGTCAGGGCTTGCACTTGATACTCCCCTTTCCTCTTCCTCTCAGACCCTTCGATCTTCTTTTTTTTGGTCGGGGGAGTGTGTCATTACTCAACTGTCTCCCACCCAGAGATGCCCTGCTTCTTCTGTTTTGTTTTTTTTAGCGATCATTTTATTGGGGGCTTTTACAGCTCTTCTAACAATCCATACAGCAATTGTATCAAGCACATTTGTACACATGTTGCCATCATCTTTTTCCAAACGTTTACATTCTAGTTGAGCCCTGGGTAGCAGCTGCTCTTTTTTCCCTCCCTCCCCCAGAGACGCTAGTCTAGATTCACTCCCTAAGCTCAGGGTCCACGGATAAGATCCCCCAACGACGCAGTCCTCTGGAGCAAGAGACCCGGCTGAAGCTGAAGCGCAGCCTTGCCAAGCTGCAGGCCGAACAGGGCAGGGACAGCCTCTGGAGGGAACCTGAGACCACCCTGCCTTCCTGAGGCTACAAAGTGCATCTCCCAAGGCTCCACCAGTTCATGGTGAGCAAGCCCCATGTGGGTCCCCCGCATGGCGTGCTGTGTCCCCCTCCCCCCAGCTGTGGCTGTATGTGATGGATAAATGTCTGTGAGCCCCTTGAGTAACTTTCTTTCATTGTCCTGGACAGCACTGGTCACTGTCTCACTGTTTCTAAGGGGCCCTGACTCTCCCGCCGAACTGTGAGCTCCTTGGAAGCCGAGTCTGGGCTGTGGAGGCCCCACTCAACGCCTGCATTTTAATCAGGACAGACGTGGTCAGTATTTGTTGTCTGGGACAAGGAGGGGACCCCTAATCCACAGGGAAGGAAGCAGAAGTTCAGAGAGGGGGATCCGGGTTCCAAGCAAGGGCCATGGTTGGTAGTCGCACTTGCCCGCACCGGGCACACATTCGTGGCGAGTCCATGCACCGGGGACTGGAATGAGTGCCATGGTCCCTGGAATGCCCCTTGGCTGGCGGCTGTCAGCTGAGTGCCGGGCCTTTCTCCCGAGCCCGTCCGTCCGAGTCCAGAAGCCCCACTGAAGCAACAGGCCAGCCTCCCCCTCCAATGACAAGCCAGGCAGGCACGTCTGAGCTGCATCAGCCAGGGACTGAACTCAGGTCTCTGCATCGGAGGAGAGAATTCTACCACCATCCCCCAGCCACCACTGCCTCCCAGAGTCAGCAGGGGCTTACTGAAATTCAGACACCCCAACCTGCGTCTTTCATCTCCTAGCTGGCTTCTCTGGGGCCTGGAACTGGCCCTCTCTGAACGCCACAGTCTTCCTCTCCCTCCCCCCACCCCGGAGGAAAATGAGAGGTGTCCCACCACACACCAAGTGGACCCTGCCATCCCCTGTCCCTTGGCCCACGAATGGCCATCGGACGCAGTCCCCAGACACCCATCCGTTAGCCATGTTTTCCCACCACGATCCCACGGCGATGTTGTTCAGATCCGGGTGGTGCTGGGGCACAGCTCTGAGTGATGACCCACCCCGAGCCTGCTCTATTTCTTGACAGAGTTTCTTCCAACACGTGCGATTTCCCTTCCTGGTAATTGATGAAAGTCGTGTTCTCTGCGTCAGGAACGCCCTCCCTGTGCTTGCTCCCAAGCATCCCCTCCTCCAGGAGGGACTCTTTACTGGGCAAACTCAACAAACTTGGCTCTGGCAGGACGGGCACTCTCTTGCCCCATGTCTGAGGACACCTCCCAGGGAGCCACTGAGCTGCGCTTCCCGAAATGCCCAGCCTGAGGCTGCTCAGGGGTTCAATAAAAGCTTGTCAATTACGATGAATTAAACATTGGGAGAATCTGGCTCAAAACCCTTCACCCCCCACACCACCCCGCTGCCTTCCCTTCCCCCAGCTCCAAACGTTGAGGCAGGGAGAAAAAAAATGTCTGCTTCCTGCCCAGAGAGGTCTGGGTTTGAGCCCCAACGGGATCCGGGTGTGCTGGTCTCTGCTTGGTCCAGTATTTCCAGCGCTCATGCCTTTCAAACTCACTGCCACCCTATCCATGAAGACTCCCCATCACACAGGGTTTGCGCTTTCTGAGACTAAATCTTTACAGGCACAGAAAGCCCCGTCTACTCCTGAGCAGCAGGCGGTGGTTTTGAACTGCAGACCTGACAGTTAGCCCAACACCTAACCCCCTATGCCACCAGGGGTCGCATCCCAAATATCCACAGGCTCCAATGAACCTGGCAGTCACAGCGGAGGGCTTGGGTTC